TCGGATTCAAAGTCAGTAAGCTCCGCAAGCGAGGCTGCCGAGTCCGAGGAGCTGATTCGAGATGGTGATCTACCTGAAGCTGATGATCAACCAACAGCGGCTCCACCGAAAGATACCTTCTTGGCGGTAGAGCTGGACATCTGCGAAGATGACTTCTCCTGGCTGGCAAAGTGCCACTCCAAGAAGAAAGGCTATGTTTGGTTATCGAAGAAGATGGCCGAAAAGGGGCGAGAACTTAGCTGGAACCGCCTGACGCTGGACCAGAAGAAGGAATTCGACATTGCCCAGGCAAAGGAGATTTCCAACGTCATTGTCTCCAAAGCTTTGAGAAACTTGACCCCGAAAGAACTCAAGGATTTGAATCCTGGTGCCATAATGTCAATGAGATGGGTGCTTACAAGGAAGCAAACAGGAGATGCCAAGGCACGCCTGGTTGTGCTAGGCTTCCAAGCACACAACTTGACTGAGGTGCAAACCACTGCACCGACCATGGGCAAAGGGTCAAGAAATGCACTTTTAGCTTTGACAGCGGCGCTGAAGTTCACCCTGAAGTCAGGAGATGTGACATCAGCCTTCCTTCAAACAGATACCTCACTGGAAGATGAAGAATTGACAGTATGGGCTCCACCAGAGTTAGCCCGCATGTTTGGTGCTTCGCCTGGAGATGGACGAGCCCTACGAGTTGTGCAAGCATTTTATGGGTTAGCACATGCTCCGAGGAAATGGTTTGAAAGATGCCAGAGAACGCTTTTGGAGCATGGCTGGCGACAAATGAAAGCCGACAGATGCCTCTATGCCCTGTACACCATGAGAAACGGCGAGCTGACCCTCATTGGACTTGCTGGAATTCACGTGGATGACTTCCTGATTTCTGGAGATGGGTCAAAAGAGTTTTTGGAAGCAGAAGCCAAACTGCAATCTGCTTTCAGATGGGGCAAATGGGACATTGGCGACTTCACGTTTGCCGGCACCCACATTGTGCAGCACGACGACAAGTCGATCTCTGTGGACCAGAAGGAGTACACAGATAAATGGATTGAAGAAGTGAAGATAGATCCAAGCCGATCTACAAAGGCTGAACTGAACCCCTCAGAAGTTTCTTCACTTCGTGGCGTTTTAGGTACTATCAGCTGGCGATCAACGCAGACCGCTCCAGAGTACCTGGCCGAGACTTCGTTGCTCTTGTCGGAGATTGGCAAGGCAACGATTGGCACGTTGCACAAAGTGAACAAGCTCGTGAGAGAAATGCGTCGACGAGCTGGACAAACACTTTTCTTTCCAACATGGGAGACCAAGGACTTAGCAGTCATCACTTGGACAGATGCAAGCCAAGGAAATCGACCAGACCGATCTTCTACGGTGGGAATCCTCACCGCTCTGGCACCTTCAGATGTTCTTTTTGGAGAAGAACGACAGTTTGCGGTTTTGCAGTGGAAGAGTGGAAAAGCTCCAAGACAAAGCCTTGGGAGCAACGGATCCGAGGTCCAAGCTTTGACCCTCGGTGAAGACATGAACTTTCAACTGCGAGCTCTGATCGCAGAACTACTTGGTGCTGTACCTCAACGTGGCGAAATGAACGACCTCGTCAAGAAGATCCCTGGCGCACTGGTTTTGGACAGTCGTGGAATATACGACGCTGCAACGAGAAACCTTAGCTCATTGCACGGCCTACGTGACAGCAGATGTGGCTACGAACTCACGTTGGCAGTCAACCGAGCCTACCAGGTTGGCACTCAGTTCAGATGGGTGAATGGATTGGCGCAGCTAGCAGATGCGCTGACGAAGATTGGTGCCATCAAGGTGATGTTGCAGTTCTACCAGCAACGCCAGCACTGGCGATTGGTTCACGATGAGAAGTTCACCTCTGGAAGAAAGGTTCACAAACGAATGATGCTGAAGGAGCTCGAAAGCCATCATGCCAACTTCCTCTACTTGGTGAAGAAGCTGGCCCAGGAGAATGGATACCCCTGGGATGAGAAGGAAGACTTTTCAGCCTTCCACCCACTGACCTAAGACAAATGTCGGTCAGGGGGGATGCAAGGATGGCATGTTCAGACATGTGACCTCCACTTGTCTCTGTCGCACCGCCCAGGGAGGGCTCGAGCTGTAAGGCGCGGAAAAGGACACTTGGCTGTCCGCAGGGTAGAGGGTTGCCCAACTTTTCCCTTTGGTTAGGGAACGTTCCTTTCCACCTGTGCCGTTTGACTAATTGCACATATTAAAGCTGATGTTGAGATTAATCAAGATAAAAACATATATTTACATAAAGAAACCAGTAAAAACAGTTATATCACTTCAACAAATATAGCAGGTGTAAATCATACAAATTTTATTAACGAAGACCCTAACGGAGATTTAAGATTTTTGCTAACAACGGCATAAGGCTTTATATCACACCATCAAAAGTTTCAGTTCCTCCATCTTATATTTTGGAAGGAAACCTTGTAGACACATCGGATAAAAGTAAAAAATATGACATCAAAAGTATTGAACGTAATTTTACTGATATTATGAAACAAATTGAACCTAAAACTTTCAAAATGGAAGAAGAGAAAGAACTAGGATTAACTAAAAATCATATCGGGTTCATTGCTGATGAAATAAAAGAAGCAATACCTGATGAATGGCAAAATATAGTGATGACTGATAATGAAGGTATTAAGAAGTTAAGTTATATAAAATTAAACACTGTGCTTTGGGGCGCGGTTAGAGAACAACAACAAAAAATACAAAATTTAGAAGCGACAATGTTTGAGATGATGGAAGAAATCAAAGAATTGAAAGGAAAGAAGAAGCCAAAAGCAAAAGCAAAATCAAAAGCTGAATAAATATAATCTAGATTAAAAATATAATATAATGGGTTCTAAGCAATCATCAGTTGAAAATAGTTGCATGGGAGAATTGAGTAATATAAATGAAAATGATTTAGATATCAGTAATGTTGATAAGCTTCAAATAAGAGCATTGAAGGAAATGAATAATAGAATAAAGGAAATGGAAGAAAAGAAAAGCGACCGTATATTTTATAAACTACCTGCTATTAACATTTGTGCTCCAAGTCTAATTTAATGATATTATTATTTCATAATATCATTGAATGCTGGTTGATATATCAACCAATCTCAACTGATGAATTCAGTTGATGTGTATCTCCTTCTCTAATCTAATCATAAATATTTTATTTATGTCACTCTCTCTTAATTTTACAAACAAAAATGAATAAGGTTGGTCGTCAGTAGCAAGTTTGTAAATTTCATACAGGGTTTTCTTATCAACTAATGCTGATTGTTCTTCAATGAATGTTTCAACTTCTCTTATGTTTTTCAACTTGAAAATATATAGTGATGATGTATTTACTCTTACAATAGTTGCAAGCGCATTCAGTTTCTGTGAAGCAGTTATAACTGACAATCCAAAATGTCTAGATTTGGTGTAAAGACCATGGAGGATTTTTGAATATCTCATAAAAGTTTTGTCTTCTGCGAAGTCATCTATGATTAACAGACAACTATACAATTTAGTCATTTTGTTTTTCTTCTGGTATTCTATCACTTTATGCTGTGTGTTTATGATGTGTTCTAATGCTTCTGCGTTATATTCATCAAATAAGTATTGTTCTTTCTTATTATCTATTTTCAGTTCTTTTTGTATGTATTTTATTACTTCCTTGTAGGCTTCATCTATGTGTGCTGTTGGTGATACAATGTATATACGTTCAAAGCAACCACGGTATATTTTCAAAATTAAGTTTTGAATAAGGATGCCTTTACCACCCTGTGAAGCACTAACAATAATACTTCTAAAAGGTAGTTTATCTGCCTGCGGGTATGGAGACTGTTTGAACTCATATTGCTTGACATTGATAGGTTCAATTTTTGGTGGTTCTAATTTCTTCATATAATAAAATATGTTAGAAAATAAAATATAATATTATTTGTTAATGGAACTTTTGGAACAGAGAAAAGGGCATTAACCCTCATACGTAGCTAATTAGTTTTTGGAATTCGGTTGAAGTTTGGAAAAGAAGACCGCCCCTCTCTTCTGCGTGGAAAAGTCAGTGCAAGTGAAGTTGCAAAGTTAATTAGATAATATTATCTAATTAACTTTAATAAATGCCTAAGAAAGGAAAAACAAAAATGTCAAGAAAAGCTATTCCAGAGGATTTTGAACTGTCAGATGACGAGCCGACAATGATAAATTTGACTGAGGAACAAAAACTGACAAGTAAAAACATTATTTTTGACTGTCCGTTGTGCTTTGGAAAATTGCAGTTAAGAAATGAAATTGAAATTAACCCCAAAGGCATAACCTGTCGTTGTAATCCGTGTAGTTTCAAACTGACTAAAAATGATAAGACTATGAATGTCAGTAAGGATGATGAAGGGGGGATTACATTGGATAGTCAAGACCACAGCATCTCGTTTGCTTTCAATAGAATTACTACTCCTCCAACAGAAGATGAAAGATATAGAAATGATATGATAAAAGATGTTATGAATACACCACGGAACAGCAAAAGACAGATGATGTCTGAAATGGATTGAAACGAAACCGTTTAAAGAGTAGTTTTTCTATCAACTCCAACTCATAAATAAATAATTAAATAAATTAATTTCTAAATAAATAAATAAATAGTAATGTCAAGTGGAGATGAGAGCAAGACTGAAATGAAAGAGTTGATGGATAAACTCAACAAATACGCTAAACAGGTGAAACTGGTTCTGGCAAAACTTGAAGAAATTGACAAGAAAATAGGACAAGACCATTACTATTTAGATGATGATAAGAGGGGTCATTTACGCCACGAATTGTGAAAGGTGTAAGGCTTGTTCATGCTGATGTGTTGTTGCTTCCAGTGCTTGCCATCACTGTCGTTAAGGCTCAACAATATCAAACTGCACTGCGCTGATGCTTCAAGTAAGATCATGATTCAAAGTCAGGAGGAGTAAGAGCTGTTGCGGGAATACGAGCTGTTGCTTTTCAAGACTTATGTTGTAGCAATGGTTGCCTTGCGCAATGCTCGTGTTCGGCGCTATGTCCTTCTTTGCCATTTCTTCTGCTTTTGGCATTTCGCAGCACGAACCTTACAGTTCTCTGCCCTGCCGCCGAATTCAAAGCTGTTGAAGGACGTGGAGCACAATGAGGTGCCAAGCTGGATTCGGGAGCAAATATGCGACTTGGAGTATGATGAAGACATCGCCAACAAGGTGGTAAATGCACTGTCCGTTTTTCCAAGAAAGGTGCTGACGGAAATGTCGTATGAAAACATAGCACTCGTTTTGACAGAAGCCCAGATCGACGAGAGCGTTGTGCGACCAGTAGCAATGGGTCTGTCCAACCGCATTCAGAAGGGCATTTCCCAACCACAACCCGTTTCTCGGCAAAGATTGGTTTTAGTCGTAGCCCGAGTTCGTTGTGTTTTGTTTCTCGTTGATGTGAGACAGCGTTTATGTTTCTGTGGCTGCTTTGCTGATTTTCAGGTTCAGAGCGATGTTCCCGAGAATGTCAAGGCCTTCGCACGAGCTTTGGATGATGCAGAGCTGGAAGGGCAAATTCTCAGAACGGAAACGGGCAGTTTCAAGTTGCAAAACGTTTCTGAAATTTGGGACGAGAAGCAGTTCTACGTGCGGGGGTGCTACACAGAAATTGCCGACATCATGTTGAAGAAAAAACCCCCCGTGATGTCGCTGCTGGGCTCGTCTGGGATCGGCAAGTCCAATTTTATGGTATATTTAATCTGGCGTCGCTTCCACGACAGTGAGCTTAAAGACTTCCCAGTTTTTCTGCACCAGAGGGACATCATCCATCTGTTTCAGAAGGGCAAAGAGCCCAAAGAGGTGGATGTCAAGACTTTGAGGTCAGCGCCTGCACAAGCTTTGTATATCATGGATGCCGACATTGATGTGGAACATGGGGTCTTTTGCCAGTCTTTGTGGATTACCTCTGCGCGGAGGCCCGAGACAGCGGCTTCCAACACGGAACATTTCAAGCAAGCCGAGCGCTTTTCTGGGCAGTTCTTTATGCCACCATGGACGTTGACGGAGATGCTGAGTGCAGAGGTCATGGCCTTACACAAGCTGAATGAGGAGGTTGTCAAGGAACGCTTCGGCATCTTTGGTGGCACTGCGAGGCTTGTTTTGGAGAGGGACGAGACAAGGGCAGGCGTCGACCGAAGAAGGCTCGTAGAGGCCGTGCAGTCAGCAGATGCGATGCAATGCCTTAAAGTATCGTCTGACATGAAAGCCATAAGCAAGAGGACGCACTTGCTGGTGAAGATGATGCCATGGCCAAACTTCAGCTGGTTTGATGTGCAGTTGTCGTCTCCCTATGTTCGGCAAGAGCTGGTGAAGCGAAACAGAGCAAAACGAGCCCAAGCTCTTTGGGATCGTATTGATGATGGGATGATTACGGGCATCGGTTTTGCATTGTTTGAGGAAGAGTTCCACCAGTTCATGCAGGACAAGTCCATCGGCAAGTTCAAGCTCCGAGCCAGATGCTTGACAGCTGACGGGAAGGGGTCTGACACAACACAGGAACTCCAAGGTGGTCTTGAAGGAGTGCTGATTTCGGGCAATCCCGCAGCAGACATCAAGGATGGCGAATACTACCAGCCGCACAGCAAAAACTTTCCTGCCTTTGACTCATGGACCTCACAGGGCGTTTTTCAGCTGACGATTGCCGATACACATGACATCACCTTCAATGACGGTGGCAAGGCAATGGACGTGACGAAGACGCAGGCGTATAAGATTGTGGATGCACTTTGCAAGAAGCATGACAGCAAAGCCAAATTCTTCTTTGTCGTTCCGCAGTTTCAGTTTGATAAGTGGAAGACTGTGCAGACAGTGAAACAGCCAGAGATGGCTGAGAAGATTGAGCAATGGGTTGTGTGCTTTGAACAGAACCTTCCGAAGTGAAGTGGAGCAGCGCGCTCGTGACCAAAATGAGGAAAGTCCGACATTGACATCCCCCAGTTCGGGGTTATGTTTTTTTTTTGGTTTTTCTATTAGGGTCTTACCCCACACCTCATTAGGATATTGGTTATAGAATGGACAAGGTTATGGGGTTGGGAGGTTCTTATGGTTTTGGGTTATGTTTTTTGGATTATTGTATTTGTCTTGGGAGGTGCTTTGTGTATTGCGGGTTTGGTGTTGGGTGGGTCGGTGTTTTGTAATTTTTGTTGCATAAGTTTTTGAATAAGGGCGACCTTGCCCAACTATTTTATGTTTTTTTTTAAAAAAAATATTGTTTTCTATGAGGAGGACCTTGCCCCTGTTTTGTTGGATGATGAATTTTGGTTATGTAGGTTACTTGTTGAAAATCCTTTTGAAGATTACTATGTTGGCTTACATCTTCAAAATGATTTGTGTTATGGTTATTGTTGAGACTGTTTTGTTTTTTTTTGAATGATGTTTTTGAGATGTTGTTTTGAATTTTTTGTTGAATGATGGGTTGGAAGGTTTGTTTTGAGATGTTGTTTTGAAATCTTGGTTGAATGATGTTTTTGAATGATGGTCTTTATGAGATTGTTATGAAATGATGGTGAAAGTGTAGGGGGGGGTGCAGGGTTATGTGATGATAGGAAGATGGGCAAGGCCTACCCTAACTTGTATATATATATATATGTACATACATAATCATTTTTGATTGACTAGATCGCGATCCAGAAATTGCTGATGCTTTGTTGCTGGTTGCACTCCCCGTATTCCGCACCTCCTTTTGAGGGGTGATGTTAAATTTAGGGGTTGACATTTCTCATCATTTCCATATGTATCCCACTATATACTCATTGAATCCCATTATATCCCCATTATCTCTCCACTATATCCTCATTGTATCTCCCTTGTATCCCCATAAAAATATTAATAATAGAAATAATGGGGATACAATGGAGAATGGGGATGCAATGGAGATATATTATAACCCTATTAAATTAATCCCATTCTAGCCAAATTGTATCCCAATTCCATGTTAGTTCGGTGATTTTCTCATTTAGCTGCCCATTTCGTTCGGGGATTTGCCAGCTAGCTATCTTGAATCACAGGAGAGCAAATAGCTCATAACTGGCTAGTACAAGTGGTTGCCCGCAGTTCTGTTTGTTGTTTACATTAACTACTTCGATATATACACCCTAAACCCCAGTGAAATGTTAGATATAAACTGAGCTTTCATAAACCAACTATGAACCCTCAAAAAATTGTTGGTACAATGAATTACAGCCCCAATGTTCCAGATGTTTCGTTTTTTTTTTCAACAACAGGTCTCCGCCAAAGTGCATGAAGGGCTTCATGACTGGCAACGTCGCAGCTTTGGTGCAGTTTGTTCATTGTCAAAGGTTGGTGAAATACTATGGGGTAATAATATAACTAGTGTAATACTAGGGTTTATATGACTACTATGGTTCATGCTAGGTTTGCGAAAGTTGGTGTATTATTATGGATTATTATGGTTTGATATGGGTAATACTAGGGATTGTCATGGTTTACTGTGGTGATTTTGATGGTTTACTTTGGTATTACTACTGCACCTTTGGCATGGTTTACTATAGTGTAACACCTTGGGAAACTGGGATTCTTTTCAGCCCAGCTCTGTGCCAACACAAACTTTGCAGCGGAAGTTGCCAACGAATGTAATAGAACCACAACGAAAACTGGGATTATTATCATTGACTATGCTGTAATACTATGGAATACTAGGTTTAGCATGGCGAAGACTCGGATTCTGGTTGATATACTAGTTTACTATGGTTTCTAGTAGATGTATCTCTCTCTCTATACATATGTGACTGCCCTCTGGTAATTTCAGAGTTTGCGAAGTGCACTGGTGCACCATGGAACGAACGTAAATCGTTCAGAAAAGGGGTCAACATTTCCAGAGTTTTTTTCTACTAATACAGCTGGGGTTACAATATATATATATACAACCATATATTTATTATTTGTAGGTAAGTTACAATATTTAATAAGCAGCGGAGCGGAAACGGACTGTTTCCATGAGATCCCCAGATGGTTCGATGGGATGTTTCAGCTGGGATGTATGAAAAGTATCTAAAACCATATGGAACAGACGATCTTTTTGGACAGTTGGTGGTTTCCAAATATTTCAAACATAAAATTGAGTTTTCAACGAAAAGACCAAGTACATCCAAGTACACATATTCATTTATAGCTTGGCACGCTTGTTGTTTGAGCTGCTTTGTGAAGATTAAGCATCGAAAAATAAACCACCAACTATGATTTCATCAACTATAGAAAACAATTCAACCATAGAAAAACCATAGAAAAACCAAAGCAAAACGATAGAAAAAACGATAGAAATTCAACCATAGAGTCACCAACAATATATATAGAAGCCATTCAACCATAGAGTCACGAGTCGTTGAATCCCCCCAGGCCCAGATATAACTTATCTGGCTTTCTGAATGATTTCTTGGATGAATTTATATGAGTTCAGATGCATATTATAAGTTATATGAATTTATATGATATGTTATATGATTTGATATGAATTTGTAATGAAGGAAATGAAACAATCTATGCATTTACCATTATACTTTTCGATGAATCTCAAGGATGGATTTCATCAAAAGGATCATGCACGATGACCATCGATGACCTGCTCGGATGAGGTGTACACTCTCTAAAGCCATAATCATTCTGATAACTACATGGGATAAACATTGAATTTGGACTATATAAATATGAATAACTATTATTCCATATATATATAATTTCATATACGATTCCCAGTTTTTTTCGCCACGTAACATCCTTCAATGGATTGGTTTTGTTGGGAAATGTTAACCGGAAACCATCGATTTTTCCCATGAAGATCATGGAAAAAATCCAGTAAAATTTCCCTTCAAATCCATTGAATCCTTCTTTTAAAATCATTTTTGCCATGGCCATGGCCATGGCCATCACCGGTTGTCACGTGAGGCAAGGGCTGGTTCTTACTGTCCGGTGCAATCAGCAAACGCACTCGAGGTCCGGGTAAACCCGAAAAAAACCGGGGTTTTTTACGGTGATTTCTATGGGGTTATCATGAACCATTGCGGTAATAGTTATAACTGACATCCATAACTGGCAGCCATACTTGTAGTATATAAGTGGTTAGTGTTTGTGGGCTTATAAACCACTTAATCTGTAGGATAAGAATGGATTCCTGGATAACCTACTTGCTCCAAGCAGGGCGTGGGAGTGGAAGATTCATCAAGTTCCCCTAGCTGGGACCTTGGCCGGTGGAAAATCCCCCTGGCCAACTATCCATATGGAGGTTTTGTTTGCTTGGAAAATCCATGAACATCATCTATACATGGGTGATTTTTCCATGGTTATAACTTGATATAACCCATGAATTTTCTAGGAATGTTGAGATTTAACCATCATCAATATGGGAATGTTGTGATTTTTCCATCTTAAACCATGAATTTTCTTGATAAATGGAGGTTAGATGTGGGACCATCAAAAAAATGCTGGATTTTCTGGTGGCCACGATGATAATTAGCCATTAGCCATAGTGAATACCATCTGGTAAACAAACATAGCTATAGAAAATCACCATTTTGAAGAGGTAAATCAACGAACTTTTTTTGTGGTATTTTCAATAGCGAACTGTTAAATTACCAGAGGGTAATTTGCCATACTAATCTCATGGGATGATTAATTGTGGTATTTTCAGACCTCCCATCCCTCATTCATATTAAGACCCCATGGTGTGATCACACATATGTTTTCCGCTCCAGTACTTTTTTGCCATGGTTTCTGGAGGGTGTTTAAGATTTGATACGGGGAAGGGATTCATGGGATACTTCTAATGATTTAATGGGAAGGAGACTAATTCCATGTTCATAGGAGATTCCCATTATGGGATGGATGACCATAACCCATAGACCATGTTTCAACCATTGCACATATGTTCATGGGAGATCAAACATGACAGAATCAGGTGATGCATATATATATATATATACATTAATATACATATTATATACGACATGGATATGATATGGATATGTCTTGGGGATATGGATAGAGGGATATGATCAAAGGTGGTGCCCCTAACTTTCGGGTAGTTGGGGCACCACGGCTTTCCATAGGAACATGGTCTACGAATTTGGTGGCTTTTCCATGTGAAACTTTTTGACACACTCAAAATTGGTCCAAATAGATTGTTTATTTGGACGTGATCCAGCAAAATCACTTTTTTTCGAGTGAAATCTTCGATCCACGAAATAAATGCGTAGCTCTTCACGGGCCAAGGCCAATTCTTGCAACATTTGGTCGCCATTGCATGGAACATCATTTTCTCAAGCATGAGATCTCTTGGTGCCCTACTATTTTCAGATTTTCATGCAAAGCTTATTCGGGGATGTAAGAAACTGGGTGTAAGGTGGGATTTCTTGCCACCTTTTTCAAGGATGTTGGGAAACCGGGGGTCTGTATAAGTTTAACCATTGTCATTATCTGGTCGGTGTTTTTTTTAAACATATTTTTTCATATATTAGGCATAATAATCCCAACTGACAAATATTTTTCAGAGGGGTTGAAACCACCAACCAGTTATGCCAGTTATGTTACTGTATATGATGTTATATGGTTCGGGCGGGTTAGCCACCTACAGGCAGTGTGATCATTCATAGCACCCCCAAAAAACACCGTGTTAAGCAACCGCCTACTGGAATATGACATCCCGATAAAAACCGAATACATCCCACTTCAACCCCTATAAATCACCACTTTCCTATCTTTTTTGGGGCCTTGCAAGTTCAATATCGTCATCTTTCTCACATGTTTTCTCCCGTTTTTCGCGCACAGGACCCAGCTATGAGGAGTTGGTGTTGGCAGGGAAGAATTTGGATCATGAAGAAGCTGTGCGCGTGATCCAGGCGATGGTATATACAAAGGTTGGGAGTGGT